CGTCTTCTTAAATTGGATTTATTTTTTCATCAAACAAAAATTTCTATTATTTCTATATATTATCCCCCTTCTGGTTCTATTCATCAGCCTATTTGCACTGATCTTATTGCCAAACTTCTTTCTTGGCTTGATCATGCCCGTACTAATAATTATTTTGTAATTATCCTTGGCGACTTCAATAGTTTTTTACCGACCATCAAGCTCATTCTTCTATAGATGGTCCTGATCCCACTTTTTTTCACGATAATGGATCTTCTAGACTGGATTATATCTTGTCTTCACCTGGTTTTCCTGCTCCTGGTTTTTTTTCGCAAGTGGTTGCTTGCCCTAATCTTTTTGATCGCCCTTTTACGGATCACAAAATCCTTACTACTGTTTTTGACTTTAGCTCTTGCCTGGCTATTTTGGCTAAGTCTCGTCTTAAACAAAAGAAAGAAATGCGTACTATTTTTTCTTATGCTTCCACTTCAGCTGAACAATGGAATAATTTTACCACTGAAGTAGATGATTCTCTTGGAGTATATCTAGATTGACAATATAATTCTCGTCTTGATTTCTCTTCTCTTTCTCTTGATCGTATGTGGCATGCTTTGAAAGCTGCCATACTTAGTGCCGCAATTGATACATTACCCTTTCAAAAAGTCTCCAACACACACCGACATTCGTACTCTCCTGAATTAACTAAACTCATTGCTATTAATAAGTTTTTAGATCGATTTTTATATCGCCTTACAACTCGTCATTTTATTCGGTCTGCTCAGATTTCTCAAATGACGGCTGCTTTACCCTCTCATCTTGATAATCTTGTGTCCTTACTTCCTGATTATTCGGTTCCTACCTACTCTCCAACTCCTGTATCTGAATTTAAATTATTTTTGCGATCACAGAAGAATTTAGTCTCTGCCTTTTTATCCACTAAATTCGCCCAACATCTTACGGACTCTGTGGAATACTATACTGCGTTATGTGACGAATACTTTTTGAACTCGCTTGGCACCTTCATAGACTCCGCCCTATCAGTTGAAAAATGTTCGATTGTTCTTGACCGCGTCTTGGTTGTCCTGGACTCTACTCCTACTCTATTAATGGATCCTTCGGATATTAAACAAGCTGCTATTACTCATTTCCAATCTATTGTTTCTCCTCCGTTGGTCCGATATTCTTCTATTGCCTCATTTCCTGCTCGATGGCAACGAGTTTATAATCCCCTTGCTGGTGTGTCCGCTTTATTATATAATCCTGTTTTAGCACCTATTTCCTTACAAGAATGGTCTGATGTAATTTTCTCCATGCCAAACAACAAAGCTTCTGGCCCTTCAAAAATTTCTTATGAGATGATAAAACATCTGTCCGGTGAAGCCTTGGATTTCTCTCTTTTGCTTGCCAATACCTGCCTCTCTCGTGGTGATATTCCTGCTGATTGGCGCGAAGCTGTAGTCTATCCTATTCCTAAACCCCATGACTTTGATGCTCAACTAAAGAACACTCGACCTATTACTCTTCTGAAAACAGTTCGAAAATGTGTAGTCAAGGTCATCACGAATCGTCTCTCCAATATTCTAGCTGATAATAAAATTCTCCAAGGTGGTAACTTTGCGGGTCTGCCTAGTGGTTCTACTGATGTCCTTATCAAAATGCTTGATGCGATTATCCATCAGCAAAAACATGATTCTTCTGATGATCAGGAATTATGGATTGTTTCTCAAGATATCTCTAAGGCCTTTAACTCTATGGATTTGAACATGCTTAAATTGGCTTTAGTTAGATTACATTTTCCTACACTTTTAGTGCAATTTATCCTGAATCTTTTTACATGACGTAATAATAGAATTATAACTTGCCATGGCGATACAGCTGCTTATCGAGTACGTGTTGGTATCGATTATAGAGAAATTATTTCCCCCTACTTTGGGTTCTTTATTTGGATCCTTTACTCACTATTTTGAATTAAGAAGCATGAGATCCTTTTGTTTTGAAATCTTCAGCTCTCCTAGAATATTCTCCACTTGAATTTGAACAACATTCTTTGCCAATTTCACATTTAACCTTCATGGATGATTCTACACTTATAGCTTCTTCGAAAACTGGAATTGAAGATCGTCTTTCTATAACTGCTGAATTCTATACTTTAAATAATGTTCAAGCTAACTCAGCTAAATATGTTCTTCTTTCATCTTCTTCCCCTTCTTCGAGGATTGTTTTTAATCTTTCACCTTCTTCTTTAGTTTTCAACTTGTCTCTTTCCCTTCCCTCTTTGTTTTTGAACACTTCATTTCATTTTTTAGGTGTTTGGTTTTCCTTATCCACCTCTCCTCAATTTGTTCTTAAACAAGCACGCTCTATGGTTAAAGATATGGCTGCTCTTCTTAATCCAAAAAAATTATTGGCGCAACATGTGGCCTATCTCTATAATGCTGTCCTCCTTCCGAGATTGGAATTTCGTTTTCAAACCACTCTCTTCTCAGAGAATACTGTTCAGTCAATTATTACACCCATGTTTTCAGTTATAAGAAGGAAAGCTGGTCTTGCCGCTACTACTCCATTAGCTTTACTCTTCTTGAAACTTCCTTTCTCTATTCAAAATGCCTTTTACCGATTTCTCTCTTCTCACGTAGCTTCTTGGCAAAAAATTTTCACTCATCCAGATTTTAAAGAGTTTGCCAACTATGCCATTTCATATCTTCAAGGCTTTTTGGGCGCAAAGAGTTGCCCGACTACCATCAACCTAGAGCCGTGGTTACAAATTGTTTCTTTACGGACACATACTTTGTTTAATGCTCTTTTGTTTTCTTCACGACTTAATATCACATGGTCTCTTTCTTTCCGACCTCCGAGACGTGATTTACACAGGTCGAAATATAATATACCGGTCATCAATCAGTCATATAACTGATTGGTACCTGATTGGTAGCTGATCTGTTACTGATTCATTCATTCAGATACCAACCGGTCATCAATCAGGCATTTATTTCAATCAGCTACACATCAGTT